TATATATATATATATATATATATAATTTTGTAAGTTTACAATTACTAATGCAAATTCAAAAATAAATAAGGATATCAAAATGGGTTAGATTTCTTGTATCAATCCATAATCTATTTTGATTTATCAAAAAATTGGTTTAAGATAAGTTATGATATTTTCTATCCTACATGGCATAATATATAAATAGTAAATTAAATTAAATAATTGATTTTCATAAATAAACCAAATGTGTTCAGGTAAAATATATCACATTTTTAACTTAACCAAATAACATAGTCAATAAAATTGTAAGGAAATAAAATTAATGTTTTTCAATATAATTCAACAGAACAAGAGTTCATATCATTTGGTATTCAGAGCAAGGTTCGAGTTTTTACCATTCACGCGATATTGTTCACGCGCACCACTCATCATTACTGTTCACGCGGATACTATCTATTTTGTTTCTCTGTTTTTGTGAGTTTTTATCTACATATTGCTTTGTGTCTAACATTTTTTAGAATTTGAAACAGGAATTCAGCCAAGTTAAAAAAAAATTACTTGGTTGTGCAATTCTGAAATTGATATAAAAAAAAATTACCTTGTGCAATTTTGAAATTGAAAAAAAGAAAAAGAATAGAACATAAAAAAAAAATATATATATATATATATATATATATATATATAACATTGTTTTATCCTATGCGCACTACTTGCTTGATAAAATTCCTAAGTATCAATTGTCTTCTCTAATCGTTGTTTTCCATATAATTTTATGTTTGTCTTACCTGTTTGTTGGTAGTGGAATTGTTCTTTGCTACTTTTTGTTTGTTTGATTTTAATTCATAGTTTCCTTTCTTTCTTTGTGTTCAATTCTGAGTTGTTGTCTTAGTACTTGTTCCTTTCTTTTTTGTCATCATTGTAAGTCTTTTTGTTAGTTTTTCTTGTATTTCTTGGTAGCACATAGATTGGTGGGTATTCTTTGTGTTTTCTCTTCTTGGTTTGATAAGAATTCAAGGAGGGGAGGGGAAAAAGACAAGAATGTTCATTATAGTAAAAGCCTAATTGTGTGCAAACACTTGAGTGGGCAGGGTTTCTCAAATAGCGACTATATTTTTGTTCTTGTTACCTTTGATCTGTTTGTTTATCATGGCATAAAGAAATAATAACAATGATCTTCAGCTTCAAATTGTTACACTATCTCAATATTTGGAGAGATTGATGAAGCCAACAACAAGATGAGTTCCATGAGAGGTTGGATCAGTTGGAGAATAGAACCCCACCTGGAGGAGGAGGAAAGCCAAATAGGAATGAGGGAAGAATAGAATGAATCAAGTTGAATGTACCACCTTTCAAGGGTAGAAGTGATCCAGAGGCATACTTGGAGTGGGAGCTCTAGATTAAGCATGTATTCTCTTGTAACAACTATAATGTGGAGCAAAAGGTAAGACTTGTAGCTGATGAATTTTCTAATTATGCTATCATATGGTGGAATAAGTTGCAAAGGGAGAGGACTAGAAATGAGGAACCTTTGGTGGACACTTAGGTAGAAATGAAGAGGATCGTGAGGAAGCGCTATGTACCATCTAGCTTCCATAGGGACTTGAAACTGAAGTTGTAGAAATTGTCTCAAGGAAGCAAGGAAGTGGAAGAATATTATAAGGAGATAGAAGTGTTTATCATCCAAGCCAAAATTGAAGAAGATCCTAAGGTAATTATGGCTCGCTTTCTTAGTGGTTTAGATCATGACATTAGGGATGTTGTGGAGTTGTAGGAATTTGTAGAGATGGAGGAACTTTTGTATAAGGCCATTCAAGTAGAACAACAATTAAAAAAGAAAAAGTACAGCAAGGAAGAGTTCTATTAGCTATAATCCTTCAAATTGGAAGGATAGAGTCAAGAAAGAAGGTATTGCTTCCTCTAGAAATGTTGCGCTTTCTAACCATGGGAAAACACCTCAAAAGCAAGTTGACCATCCACCAAAGAGAATTAGAGAAGTGAAGTGTTTCAAGTGCTTAGGCATGGGTCATTATGCCTATAAGTGTCCTACAAATAAGACAATTCTTCTCAAGGATAATGGGGAGTACACAAGCCAATTTGAAGCAAGTGGTGGAGAATAAGAGGAGAGTGATGAAGAGGTGGTGGCTACGGAGGGAGAGTTGTATATGATTAGGAGGTTGCTTGGAAGCGAAATCAAAGTTGTGGATGCATCTCAAAGGGATAACATTTTCCATACAAGATGTTTAATCAATGGTAAGGTTTGTTTGGTGATTATTGATGGGGGAAGCTGCACAAATGTGGTGAGTTCAAAATTAGTGTCAAAACTGAATTTGGACACTAAACCACATCCTAGGTCATACAAGCTTCAATGGCTTAGTGAAGGAGAAAAAGTACAAGGGAGGCAGTAAGTGGAGGTGTCTCTTTCCATTGGGAAGTATCAAGATAAGGTGTTATGTGATGTGGTTCCAATGGAGGTCAACCATATTCTTTTAGGGAAGCCATGGCAGTATGACACCAAAGCCATCCATGCTGGTTTTACTAACAAAATCTTTTTTGTGTATCAGGATAAGAAAGTGGTTCTCAAGCCTTTAACTCCTAGAGGTGTGTGAGGATTGAATCAAAATAAGAGAAAAAGTGAAACACTTGAGAGGAAAAAGAGATAAAAGAAAAAAAAATGAACACTTAAGGGAAAACAACTTTGTTTAGCAAGAGAAAGGGAGGTAAGGAGGGTGCTTTGCGCAAGGCAGGCCCTCTACTTATTGTTTTATCAAAGTTAGATTTTGTATGCTAACCAATTTGGCAAGTTTGAATTGCCTTCTTGTATTGAGTCTTTTTTGCAACATTTTGAAGATGTTTTTCCGGCAAGTGTTCGAGATGGCTTGCCACCTTTAAAGGGAATTGAGCATCACATTGATTTCATTCTAGGAGCTTCTTTGCCCAATCAACCAGCATATATGGGCAACCCACAAGAGACTAAGGGGATTAAAAGGCAAGTGGATAAACTCATGAGCAAGGGTTGGGTGAGAGATAACATGAGTCCATGTGTTGTACCTGTCATATTAGTGCCCAAGAAGGATGGCTCATGAAGGATGTGTTTTAATTGTAGAGTCATAAACAACAACACTGTCAAGTATAGGCATCCAATTCCCAAGTTAGATGATCTTCTTGATGAATTGTATGGTGCATGTGTGTTTTCTAAAATTGATCTAAAAAGTGACTATAATCAGATTAGGATTAGAGAAGGTGATGAATGGAAAACTGCCTTTAAAACTAAATATGGTTTGTATGAATGGTTGGTTATGTCATTTGTTTTGACTAATGCGCCTAGTACCTTTATGAGATTGATGAACCATGTTTTAAGGAAGTTTATTGGTAAATTTGTTGTGATGTACTTTGATGATATTCTTATCTATAACACTAATCTTGATTTGCATGCTGAGCATTTGCAATCTGTTTTGAATGTGCTTAGGAAAGAACAATTGTATGTCAATTTAGAAAAATGCATATTTTGTACTGATCATGTGGTATCTTTGGGATTTGTTATTAGTAATAAGGAGAGATATATTTTTTGTTTTAAAAAGGATTGTGTGTTTTTTTTAATAGCTACTAAATATGTGAAACTAAGATAAAATTTTAAATTTGATTCTTAGTTTGGACAATAATTTGATTCTCACCATGATAAAATTGATAATATATATATATATATATATATACTAAGATTTTAAGACTAAATTTTATAAAAGTAAATATTAGTTAATTTTTAAATATTTAATAGTTTTAAAAATTAAAATTAGATAATATTTTATAATTTAAAAAATATTTTTAAATTCTCAATAATTAAGAGATAGGAGAGATGAATAAAAGATATGTAAATGAGATAAGAAAGAAATAGAATAAAAAGTTTTAAATTCTTTTTTTAGAATTTAAATTTTTACTATTTTAAGAAATTTTCACAAATACTTAAATTTTAAATTTTTTTATAAATATTTCAACCAAACAAAATATTTAATGCCAAAATATATGAATTTTTTTTAAAAAATAATAAATTATTCAATTTAAATCCTTAATTCAAATATACTTTTAACTAATATTTTAGTCTGTAAAGTGCACAAACTAAATATTTATTATATATGTTAAATTTTATAATAAATAAAATATATAAATAAATATTATATTTGAATAAATAAATTATATTTAAAATATATATAAAAAATAATTTTAAGTATATAAATTATATT